GGCCCCACCAACTGGTCAGGGATTGTTCTTGCTTTCCTCCAGGCTATTGTAGACTGGTTGGGTTAAGTCCAGTACACGTAAAGTATCTCTATAAGAGTACCAAGTATACTAAGAGTATAAGGGGTACTGGCTCCAAGTTAGAGGCCTTGTCTAATGTCTCAAGTATTTCAGCACTTATCTAAAGAATCTAACACTTACATTCTGTATAGGATCCTATCTATGGCTTTGTGGAAAGGCAACACTGTAGGAAGAGCAGTATATTTTGAAAAATACAGACATAGGATCTACAGTTTAGTATTACACGGTGATTTGATTTAGCTGCTTTGGCAAACTAAAAAATAAATTATATATTGGTCCATGCGTGTTAGCTAGCTATTTATTCACCATTTTCTCATTGGAATATCACCCAGCAGGCAACATGCTTTCTGTTTTAACAGGTCCATTCTCTTCTGCGGCCCCTTCTGTTTCATCAAGATTCTCCTCTTCGTACTTTCTAAAAGGTGCTTATAGATTTTCACAAGTTTTGATTCTCTGTTCTATTGCAAAATGTATGCGCTTTCATGTGTTAAAGTGTTCTTGTTGTGTTCCTTTTATGGTCTTTCCTCATACATGGAAGATGGACAGTGTTACAGTCAAGGTAGTAACCAATCATTTCAGAAGATGTGCTTTCAAATACCCGTCCTGTTCTTGAAGGCGTGGCATCCCTAAAGTCTTAGTCTCAATTTCTCTTTTGTAACTCCCATCTGGTAACATTTTGCTGCTTCAGTGCAGTATTTACAACAACTGCAACACCAATCGCTTGGAACAGTTGCAGTGGTATTTACTGATACAGCAGGCAACATACCTGTACCTTGTACCATGACTACAGTACACCAGTCCCTCTACATACCACAGTTTAACAGTAGCGACCAAATAGGCAAAGATCTGTACTAAGTTCAGCTAATTATTATTTTGTACGTACACCATTAGAGGATTATTAAGTAAGTTTACCATAAGAAAACAAACAGGATTAAATGCATTATTTGTCCCAGCTTTACTGCAATTAGAAAATTCTGCCCTTTGTCCTCTAGCATCTTTCTCTAGACGCAAATATAAGATCTCTATTACCTACATATAAAATACCTTATCAGAAAGCATAGTCCCCAGTTTGCTGGCACTCAAGAGATAACACTACTAAGAAAGCAGTGCTCTCTGGAAAGCCCTAGAACATTGATCTCCCCATTAGTCAAGAATAATGACACTGTTTCCATGAACAAATTGCATTATTGCCAGCTTGCCCACAACCTGTATTGAGGACTACTGCCTTAACATGGTCATTAACCTGTTTACTTCATGAAACACCTAAAAATAAAAAAAATTTACCTTGGAATTTACCTTGGTTTTACATGTTTTTAGGGATGCAGCCTATGCCAACTGCCCCATGAGGTGAGGGAGTTTATACACATTCTGAGTAAAACAAACAGCATCACTTAAGTTATTTGATATTTTGAGTAAAAAAGGCCTCCACATTTATAGTGTAAGGACAAGACCTCAAAGGTTCTCATTTAGGGCTCTGAATCAAATTTTAATAGAGCAGAGAATCTAAGAATCTAGTGTAGTAGTTACGGCTGTGCATAGGAAAGTAACTTACTCTTAGGAGAGGTCGTGAATCAAATAATGAACCTTTTTCATGAGGAAAAGTGACTAACACTCTTATTCCCCCAACATTTTCTTCTTAGAGCATACCATGACATATCCCGCCTCTCCCCTTTCCAGGGGTCACAAAAATCTAGTCGGTTATGTTTGCTTGTGTCATTGTGGAAAAAGTAACTAGACTGATCTCCATACTACCCTCATAATACAGCAATAGAGGAGTTAATCTCAACTCATAGGTAAAGTGAAATTAGTACCACTTTATGCTAGCACATTGGATGGTAGAAACAGCTAGGGGTCAAAGTGTGGAACACCTTGTTCAGCTGTTCCTGCTGTGGAGTCAACAATTTCACACTGATAGAGGTGTAGCTCATTCACCCCATTGGGTTTGCTAGTTCACACGCACAACCTACCTAAAGCAGGTACTGTTATTTACATGTCTTTGCAGGAAGTACAATGGTACTAGAAGTCTAAATTACCTTTGAGAGACTGCATTAGTTTTATTAACTGTGACATACAGCCATTAGTACTGCTATAGGCATTTGTTCTTTCTTACCCTCAGTAGCCCATACATAAGGAAAAAAACCAACAACCCAAACAGACAAAAACAAAAACCAAAAAAATACACCCAAACAAACAAAAAAACCCACTTTACTGTAAACCCAGAACTCTGTATTTAAAGTAACTCTCTGGTTATCTGGAGCCTGATACCTATGGCTCGCTATGCATTGAACAGCTGTGTTAGGTCTTGTCATCCTTTCAATATGAACAAACATAGATGAAATACTGCTCCATGGCAATAAGCAGAATTCCCACTTACAAGTTTGAGACTGAGAAAATGCTCTGACTCTCAAAAATCAAGCTGACAAGGATCCTTTCATTTTTAAACTCTGTCATGCAGTTACACTTTTGGAGCTAGACATGCCAAATCTGATCAATCTTCTGCCACTACAATCACTTGAACAACACCTCTCTGCCTTTGAGAAACCTTAATCTGATACTTTTATCTAAAAAGTGATTCTTGCTACACTGAACATGAAATGTAATAATTTCTAATGTAATTTAGACTGTACCATCTAATGGTCCCTTGGATTAACTGTGCCCTATGTATCAGTCTGAAGGATGGAAAAAAATCAAACATATTACAGACAGTGTATGGCAATAGTTCTGTACATAAAGGGGCTGATCTTAACTACCAGTGAACACTATGCAGAGGTTCAATTCTAGCTGATAACCCTCAAATTAAGATTATTGTAACAAGATCTCAACAAAAGATTATTTATATACTGAAAAAAACCATTGAGGCAGTCTAGCTTTCAACATTTAAGAAAAGACTACAAAGAACTGAAGTGCTTCAGAATCTATAACCAATAAAGCTTTTAGTCCAATTATAACTGGCATGTAATGGTGAGCAAACTGAGCTCTTCTGAATACGTTTAAACATAATCCAAATTAAATTATTTTCTGCCCCTCACCAATAATTTTAAAACAGTTGAAAACACAGTGGCTGTCAAACTGCTTGTACATAAAATTCATTCTTGCTGTAGGTAAAATTCCCCCTTAAATAAAGTTTGTAAGTTTTCAAAGTTACTGTAAGCCATTGCAAGTTTCAATCACTGTTACCTTGGTATGTTGTGTATTATACAAGTGCTTGTTTTTCAGGAGCATGGTACAGCATGATATGATTCATGCTGAGGAGCCAACAGGTAGCAGCAGCAAATAGCTAAGCACATGCCTTTGCAGTATCATATCATGTTTGCGGGTCAACATAACAGGCCACTCAAAACAAAAATCACACATTACACAAAGAACATCATATAAGACTTTGCAAAGCAAAGGTTTTCATCCCCACCCAGTCAAAATACCTGCCATATCGCTGTCCAAGTGTACCACTGCTCAACAAGCCCTTAATGCCTTGCTGACCTGTTTCAAGATGCTGAGGGGTTATTCTCGCTCTGATAGTAACAAAACAAAAAGACATTTACGATTAATTCCTCCATTTGTTTCCCAGTATATAATAAAAAACCCCCCACATTTTAGATGCACTCCTGAGCCCTGTGAATATATAGATGTGTAGTACATGCAAAATGTATTTTAATTTGACAGCTTTAACACCACTTTCAGACTCTCAGGAGGACCAATTGAAAGCAGAACAAGTACAGTATATTTGTTACATGCCATGAGAACTGCAGGGAAAGATTTCTTTGTTTAGAAACAGCCTAAGCAGATACACTCAATTATCCAAAAGCATTAACTATGCTTCATTCAAAATATAAGAAATTGCAGTCAGGTGCACTCCAATTTCAAACCTGGCTGAAAATTTCTTCAGTGATTTGAACAAGCTGAAACATTTTTCAACTGCTGATGCTTCAGTACTGACAAAGCAGTATGCTACTTCTGGAAATTAATGATGAAACCAAAGGAATCATAGAACAGCCTCAGAAGCTTCAAGTATCAGTTGGTTTTGGTGGTTTGAGGTTTTGTTTTTTAGTTATTTTCTCTTGAAGGCATATGAAAATCCTCCAAATCCTTGCAGTGATTATTAGCTTCTAAATTCCCAAATCTTTCATAACAGCACCTTATTATCACTGAGTTTGAGTCGAGTGACCCAGTAACACACCACATAGGGTACAAGTTTATCAGATATCAATCCATAATTCAAACATACCACCTAGTCACTGACTTCTGTATCATATTACCTATCATTTGTTGTTTACACCCAGCATAATTAACTCTATTTGTGCGTCAGCTTTCCACACCGACCTTCCCAATTTGTGTAACTTCTGTCTCAATTACAGCAGATCTCCAGTCCCTTCATGTCTGGCAGTATGTGCTCCAGACTTGGAAGTTTCTTTTTACCCAAGAATACTTTTGCAGGCCTTTCAGAGCCACAGAACTGTGAACAATGGCTAAGGCTAGGAATCCTTCTTAAACTATTCCCTTCCAGAATAGCACTTAGAGCCATTATTAAACTTACTACTTTTGAGATAATTTTCCACTTAAATTGGAGAAGAAACTTCTTCTCAGTGAGGGTGACAGAGCACTGGCCCAGGCTGCCCAGAGAGGTTGTGGAGTCTCCTTCTCTGGAGACATTCAAAACCCGCCTGGACGCCTTCCTGTGCAACCTCATCTGGGTGTTCCTGCTCCAGCAGGGGGATTGGACTAGATGAGCTTTGGAGGTCCCTTCCAATCCCTAACGTTCTGTGATTCTGTGAAATTTTAACTCTCCATGCTAGGGCACAATGAAACTCAGTCCATAGTGTCAATATTCCATTTCTCTTGCAGGTGAGTTCTTTTGAGTAACACATGCCTCTTTTTAAGTTCAGCACAGAGATAATGGTCCTTTTCAAGGTGGAGTCCTTTTCAAATGAAGTGTCAATTAAAGGATTATTTTTAATGAATTGCTTCAGTGCATACCATCAGGAATTTGTGTGTGTAAATATATGTATTTTCAGGAATCCCATATTTCACTGAAGTAAAACACATAAAAGGTGACTTTTCTGGATAAGACCATTTATTTTAACAAATAGATGAGTCATTATGATGAACTGGAAGCTGCAGCAGCTGTTCTCTTGGGCTTTGGCATGGTTCCCTCACGGAATCCATTCCTACAAGTAAAAATATGGTTAACACTTTTTGAAAGTGTGATTTCTGCTTCAGTTTATTTTCTAACAAGTAATGTTTTAGATCAAGTTCACCAGCTTTTTTCAGCTTCTCTCAGAAATGCACTGAAATCACTATGGAGTTCATATGTTCAGACATTTTTAATAAGAAACATCATTGATAAGTTGTTTAGAATAAGCAGTATGGTTTTCTCTCTCCTGCT